TGGTGATCTAAACAGACCCCTGATATTTCCCTTGTAACCCCTTCATGACTGAGGCCTTTTTTTCATTTTTTGTACCCATGTTATATTCCAAATTTTAGGCCTGAAAATTACTTAAAACCCCCCAACATTATATATTTTCTGAATGCCAAGACCCTATAGAATAAAATGGTGGTAGTTGCAAATTTTTATGTTGCGCAATATTAGCGCAACTCCTTTATCCTCTATGAGTGTTCCTGTTCATTGATAACATTGATACAACTATGAATGAACAGGAGGTGATGTAGATCACTTCCCATTCATTCATAATTGAGGATATAGTACACACACCATATCCTCAATTGTCTACAAACACTCAGCGATCACGGATCGCTGAGTGTTTGCAATTGTTCTCCTCTCTGACATGCTGTCACAGGAGGCTGAGAGAGCGCTGCAGGGAGGAGAGCTCAGCCTCATGTGACAGCGCAGGCTGTCTCGGGCCCCACACCGCTCTGCCGGACTGTGATAGGTGGCTGAGAGGTGTGGGAGGAGAGACACCGGCCGCTCACAGCACTCTCCTCCCGCAGCGCTCGGCCGGCTGTCACTTTCTCTTCTCCCCGCTGGAACACAGAGCAGCGCCCAGCGGGGAGGAAAGAAACCTGTGATGCGCCGATGTATCAGCAGGAAAATGGCACTTTCGGCATTTAGCCAAAAGTGCCATTTTTGGCCGATATGTTTCGGCGGCCGATATATCGGTGCATCCCTAGTCTTAAGAGTTTCAGATTTCAGCTGTGAGGCACCACAGGTCTCAGAGCCTATCATGTTTTAATATGTGAATAATAGGCTATTCATGGTAGATGGGCGGGACATTCTCACAAAGGAAAAATGAACCTATTTTCACATTCCTGTGCACTTACACTAGACACGATGCAGACAACTACACACAAACACAACAAACTTTTACAAGAACATACTTATACATTTACATAACTATTTTATATCTTTGTTTCATGCCATTTATCTTGTAATCATTTGTAATTAAAAACATTTTTTTAATTTTATGCAAGAACGGAAGCAATTTTCTCTTTTAAACTTCTTCCATCCTATGTCTTCAATATAATAAATGTATGATATCAAAAAAATCATATTCTACAAATACATACTAGAGTTGTTTTTGTTAATGCAATCAAAGCTTAATTGAAAAAAAAAAATCCCTTTTATGTAGTAAGTGCTTCATCTGCCCATCACTTCCTGGATTCCCAATGTGCTTTGCATCCCTTTCCCTGCTGCTTGATGTGATGTAATCTCGATTTCTCAAGACTACCTATCCCATCATGCATTGCTTCCAGCAGGCAATGATAATGTTACATTGTGGGAAGTTCAGACGTTCAGTTGCAGTTCAGGCGGCAGGTGTTGTCAGAGCCGAGTGAAATTGTGCCAGTGCATCCTATGAGCATCTTTAATAAGTAAGTTTATAGACTTGGATATGGTTATCAGCAGTGGGATAGAGCTTTGGTTGGAAATTCAATATAGAAATACATATTTATTTTTAGTTTTTGACCATAGATACCCTTTAAAGGTCTTATAAGTTCACAGGAAAACCCCAATGCAATTTCTGTTCCACTGTGATACTTATTTATGTGGTGAAAGCATAACTGAAAAAAAGAAACAAAAGTACAGTCCATTTACTTAATCTTCTTGAACATACGGTGGGGAATTTATCAAGACTGGAGCAGTTGCCCATGGCAACCAATTAGCATCTCTTCTCAGTTTGCTCAGTTGAGATTTAAAAATGAGAGAAAGAGCCGATTGGTTGCAGTGCAAATCTGCTCCAGATTTTGTCTGCTCCAGTTTTGATTAATTCCCACCACAGTATATTACATGGAGAGAAATGACTAGCATGGGAATATTAGAGGCAGTCTGTCCCTTAGAAAAAAGTATGCTAACATGTAGCAGTACACCAGCTGGATAAATTAAAATGTTATTGTCACTAGGTCTGCTGTACTATTTTACTTTGTTTCCTGGAGTGGCAGGAGAAAATGTCACCTCACTATGATAAGGAGGTCAGGTTCACAGCTTGGTGCGTCATATTGCACTTATTACAAATACAGTATTGCTATCCAAAATGTTTTAACAATTTCAACCACCTTTTAATTGTAAAAACAAATAACTGAGTACTGCCGGGACCAGAGAAATCAATACTTCTGGTGGTCTCAGGTTTCCTAACACACTTTACCTATGAACAGGGCACAGTTCTGGCACTGTGGGCAGTGGGAAAGGTCATGTTTTACAATTTGCTTTTGCAGGTGGGCCAGCCCTGTTTCTATACCTTGGTAATGGCAGACTCGCTCTCAATTTAACCATAGAAAGTGATTAAAATCACCCATGTAGTTTAATTCAGGGTGCCATGGAATCCTAGGGTTCCTGCCAAGGTTGCTAGAGGTTCTGTGAGCAATGCAATTTGATCTCCTACATAAACTGACCACTAATACAAGAGAGCACTTCTATACTGACCACTAATACAAGAGAGCACTTCTATACTGACCACTAATACAAGAGAGCACTTCTATACTGACCACTAATACAAGAGAGCACTTCTGCACTGACCACTAATGCAAGAGAGCACTCCTACACTGACCACTAATACAAGAGAGCACTTCTATACTGACGACTAATACAAGAGCGCACTTCTATACTGACCACTAATACAAGAGAGCACTTCTATACTGGCCACTAATACAAGAGAGCACTTCTATACTGACCACTAATGCAAGAGAGCACTTCTATACTGACCACTAATACAAGAGAACACTTCTATACTGACCACTAATACAAGAGAGCACTTCTACACTGATGCTAGCGGGCACTTCTACACTGACCGCTAATGCAAGGGAGAACATCTACACTGACCACTAATGCTAGGGAGCACTTCTACACTGACCAATAATAAAAGGTAGCACTTCTACACTGACTACTAATGCAAGTGAGCGCTTCGACAGTGACCACTAATACACGGGAACGCTTCTACGCTGACCACTAATACAAGGGAACGCTTCTGCCCTGACCACTAATAAAAGGTGGCACTTCTACACTAATGCTAGGGGGCACTTCTATACTGACCACTAATACAAGAGAGCACTTCTACACTGACCACTAATGTGAGGGAGAACTTCTACACTGACCACTTATGCAAGGGGGCACATCGACAGTGACCACTAATACACTGGAACGCTGCTGCCCCGACCACTAATAAAAGGGGGCACTTTTACACTAACCATTAATACCAAGGGGGCACTTCCACACTGACCACTAATACAAATAAGAGCTTCTGCACTGACCACTAATAAAAGGGGGCACTTCTACTCTAATGATAGGAGGCACTTCTACACTGACCATTAATGCAAAGGAGCAATTTTATACTGACCTCTAATGCAAGGGCGCACTTTTACACTGACCACTAATACAAGGGAACACTTCTGCACTGACCTGTAATACCAGTGGCACTTCTACAATAATGCTAGGAGGCACTTCTACACTGACCAATAATGCAAAGGGGCACTTCAAACTCACCACTAATGCAAGGGGGCATTTCAAACTCACCACTAATGCTAGGGGGCACTTCTACACACTGAACAATAATACAAGGGGGCACTTCTACACTGACCACTAAAGCAAGGATGGGACTTTTACACTGAACACTAATACAAGGAGGGCACTTCTACACTGAACACTAATGCAATGAGCACTTCTATGCTGGCCACTAATGCAAGGGGGCACTTCTACACTGTCTACTACTGCAAGGTGGGCTTTCTGCACTAACCACTATTGCAAGAGGGCCTTTCTGCATTGGCCACTAATACAAGGTGGCACTTCTATGCTAAACACCAATGCAAGGGGGTACTTGACCACTAATGCAACGGGTGCACTTCTACACTGTTCACTAATTAAAGGGGGCACCTATGCACAGAATACCAGTGCAAGGGGGCACTTCTTCACTGACCACTAATGCCATGTGGCACTTCTACACTGAACCCTAACGCAAGGTGGTCCATCTACACTGACCACTAATCCAATGGGGGGTGGGGGGGTGGAATGACATCTACACTGGCCACTAATTTTAGGAGACACCACAGTTTGTACTATCTGCTTTTTAATTCAAGATTATTAAATTATGTTGTATAGAGCAGGAGGGCATAAAACTTGCCCAAGAAGTCAAATATGCTGGGTAGACCATAATATTCATTATATCAAAAACATTCTACAATGTAGTGATCATGCCAATGTACCATGTGCTGTAGGTGGAATTATTTGTAGCAGGTGGTTCCCCAGACCAATATTTCAAGGGTTCCCCCTGGGGGGTTAAAAGGTTGAGAGAGACTGATCTGTGGTGTTGCAGATAGATCGAGATGTAGGAAGGTGATGAGTGCTGTGCACCCCCAGACAGAGGTGACAAGAGAGATGTAGGAAGGTGATGAGTGCTGTGCACCCCCAGACAGAGGTGACAAGAGAGATGTAGGAAGGTGATGAGTGATGTGCACCCCCCAGACAGAGGTAACAAGAGAGATGTAGGAAGGTGATGAGTGATGTGCACCCCCAGACAGAGGTAACAAGAGAGATGTAGGAAGGTGATGAGTGATGTGCACCCCCAGACAGAGGTGACAAGAGAGATGTAGGAAGGTGATGAGTGCTGTGCACCCCCAGACAGAGGTGACAAGAGAGATGTAGGAAGGTGATGAGTGCTGTGCACCCCCAGACAGAGGTGACAAGAGACATGTAGGAAGGTGATGAGTGATGTGCACCCCCAGACAGAGGTGACAAGAGAGATGTAGGAAGGTGATGAGTGCTGTGCACCCCCAGACAGAGGTGACAAGAGAGATGTAGGAAGGTGATGAGTGCTGTGCACCCCCAGACAGGAGTGAGAGTGGGGGTGTCGAGGCTCAGTCCAATCCGGAGCTGTCCTCCAGCACCCAATCACATCGTGCCTTTCAGCTGAAGTTGTCCTGCATGGAGTAGTGTGCGGGGCTGTGTCAGGCAGGGAGTGGGCTGGAGCTGTTCTTCCTGTAACCAAGCACCTACAATAAAAGGGAAGGGAGAGGAGGGGAGAGGAGGGCTCTCATCATGCACTTTCCCTGTGCCCGGATCCTTATTACACACAGCGATGTCACCCCGTCCACCATCTGACTGGTGACCCCGGCTTCCCTCTGATTACCTCCACCAACTTCCTCCGGTCACTTCCCCGCCAGACACCGGGGAAGGGGGGGCCACGCTGCTTCTCTTCCCGATGGCGTCTCGGCAGCAAACCCGGATTCAGGTCTACCTGGAGACAAACCGGATCGGCCCCCTGTTCGAGGTGAGCTCGGCATGCCGGGGGTGAATGGGGTCAGTGCAGGGGCTGGTAGCAGCACATGGCGGGGCTGTGTATCAGGCACACGGGCTGTGTACGGCGGGGAGTCCGCTGTGTTGCATTGCACGGTAGCATAGAGAATAATGACAGCGATACATAGCGATGCACCGTCCTCTGTGCGGGCACATCGGATGGGTGATCGGTTAGAGGATCGGGCGGCACACACACACACCCTGCCAGGCGTGGGATTGCACCCAATGCTGGGTGACGGAAGGAGCGGATTTCGGTTGATGACGGTCCATTGTGTGCAGGAAAATGCTGACTCCAAAGCGTCCCGTGTGTTGCCATAGCGAAGGGAGCAGCGCCCAGGTGTATCGCTGACAGGCGCCCCATAGCGCCCCTGGCGGCCGTCTGCTGGTACAGCATCCTGATCACAGCTCAACTCCGGGAACACGAACTCTGCATGCAGCGGAGCTCCCACCGCACTACCATCATCATTCCTATGATTTACTAAAGGCGAATACAATGTTCAGTCTGCAATGGAAGATGGAGGTTACTATAGGTTATTGTGCCTTCTCTTCTCACTGCCATATTAAATGTCTCATGTAGTGGTTAGTGAGGTTGTTCACAGTATGCTATAGAAGGAAACAAGGTTTTGGTTTACTGAAGTCTTGTCTGTGAAGGATTCTTATTATTTGAGATATATTACTATACAGGGAAGCTGGTGAATATAGGCTGAATGTACATAGTCTGATTACAACAGTATAATGTGAGTGTCCACCGAAACAGTCCCTTTTATTATATTGTATGGTACACAGTTGTTGGTGAATTTGTTGACTGATGAAAATCTGGACCAGCTTTAGGTCCCATTCACTCCAGAGCATTTTATAACTCCACACATGCAAGGAATTTCAGCCCATTCAGCAGGAATCATCCGAAATTCGCTGTGTTGCTGGCCCTATTCCACCTGCAGAAGTTGATCCCTTAGGTAGCCATACACTAGTAGATTTTTACCTGCAAAAGATCTTTCGTTCGACTTTCTATTTGTTGATGGGGCCACATCGATGATCAAAATCGAATGTAAAAGTAAACAAAATTTCTCTGATGGCATTATCTGCTGGCAAAGAAAGATCTTTTGTTCCAAAAATCTACTATTGTATAGCCAGCTTTAGGAATGGCCTCTGGCGAAGGAGCATGTTGGGAAAGGCTCGTAAGCGCTGATGGAGGAATCTGTTCTAAATAGACATGTGTACACCTGACTTAACTATTAACAAAAAATGTATCTTATTTGTTTATCACTCGGCTGTAGATACTCAAATCATCTCTGAATTGGTGCTGACACTGTCCTTCCTTCTGGAGGGGGGCTACTTTTCTTCCCCCACGGTCCCTGTGTGTGTTGTAAAGTAGCTCCAAGCTTGCTCCTGTGATGGACTACAATCTCAATACAAATGAGTAACCTAAGCATAAGATTGTAGTCTAACATGGGAGCGTACTTGGGCCGGTGACTACTTTACAACACACACAGGGACCATGGGGAACACAAGCAGCCACCCTGCAGAAGGAAGAACAGTGTCGGCACCAATTCAGAGATGATTTGAGGATCTACAGCCGAGTGAAACACAAATAAGATACATTTTTATTACTAGTAAAGGCACTTTGTGTGTGCGTTTTTTAAAATTTAGCTCCCGAGTTTAGTGTCACTTTAACAAGAGGAACACTGTTATTTTTAATATCCCCTTTTCAAATCTGAGCTTTCTGTTGCCTGTAGCAAAATGCTTGTTGCATTAAAAAAGTACATGAGCTTATTTTGGGGCAGAATGCAGCATTTTGGCCTCATAAACTTTAGTAAAAGCAACTGAAAAGCACTTGTACTGGTTCACTATCCAGAGAGTCATATTTGTATATACTATATTGCCAAAAGTATTGGGATACCGGCCTTTACACGCACATGAACTTTAATGGCATCCCAGTCTTAGTCCGTAGGGTTCAATATTGAGTTGGCCCACCCTTTGCAGCTATAACAGCTTCAACTCTTCTGGGAAGGCGTCCACAAGGTTTAGGAGTGTGTCTATGGGAATGTTTTACCATTCTTCCAGAAGCGCATTTGTGAGGTCAGGTACTGATGTTGGACGAGAAGGCCGGGCTTGCAGTCTCCGCTCTAATTCATCCCAAAGGTGTTCTATCGTGTTGAGGTCAGGACTCGCTCATCCACATCTTTATGGACCTTGCTTTGTGCACTGGTGCGCAGTCATGTTGGAACAGGAAGGGACCATCCCCAAACTGTTCCCACAAAGGTGGGAGCATGAAATTGTCTAAAATGTCTTGGTATGCTGATGCCTTAAGAGTTCCTTTCACTGGAACTAAGGGGCCAAGCCCAACCCCTGAAAACCAACCCCACACCATAATCCCCCCTCCACCAAACTTTACACTTGGCACAATGCAGTCAGGCAAGTACCGTTCTCCTGGCAACCACTAAACCCAGACACGTCCATCGGATTGCCAGACAGAGGACCGTGATTCGTCACTCCGGAGAACACGTCTCCACTTCTCTAGAGTCCAGTGGCAGTGTGCTTTACACCACTGCATCCGACGCTTTGCACTTGGTGATGTAATGCTTGGATGCAGCTGCTCGGCCATGGAAACCCATTCCATAAAGCTCTCTACACACTATTGTTGTGCTAATCTACCCAGTTCCCAGTTGCTTCCACGTTGTTATAATATCACTAACAGGTGACCGGGGAATATTTAGTAGCAAGGAAATTTCGCGGATGGACTTATTGCATAGGTGGCAACCAATCACGGTACCACGCTTGAATTCACTGAGCTCCTGAGAGCATCCAATTCTTTCACAAATGTTTTTAGAAGCATCTGCATGCCTAGGTGCTTGATTTTATACACCTGTGGCCATGGAGGTGATTGGAACACCTGAATCCACTGATTTGGAGGGGTGTCCCAATACTTTTGGCAAGATAGTTTATATAGAAGGCACTTTTCAGGGCACTCTTTTCAGGGCACTCTTGAGACCTCTGAACTAAACTGTGTGGTTAATGTGATGTTTTACTTTCAGCTTCAATAATTAAATGGACGAAAGGTAATGGTTATATAATAGAAGAGTTTTTTTGAATACTAGTGGATCTTCTTTTTGGTTTTCAAACCTTACATTTATGGATTTTTTTTAATGGTAGCGCCATGCACAGCACTGCAACTGACTTCATTTTTTTTGTGCCTAGCGCCATTCCTTAAGGACTGTACAGGCCAGTTTGTCATGGCCTACTTTTACACTAAGATCAGCCTATATGTGGGTGGTCTTCACACCTGCTGCTTCTGTGAAGAGGCTGGTCTCAGTTATAGAAATCAAGCAAAATGCATTGTCGCGCTGTGCGTCAACATGTCAGCTTGTATTGTAGTTTTAGGGCTTGTCCTAGGGTGACAATGCTGCAGCTCCATAAACCAACAGTTAAGGTGCCCATACACCTTACGACCATCGCAAGACTTTTGTCTTGCGATGGTCGTAAGCTTATTAAAAGCTTGTACGATCTGCCCAACTTGGACGGGCAGATCGTACTTGCGATCATCGAAAGCCTGCCCCGCTGAGGGGCGGGCTTCCGATGACCGCAGTGAGGGGCGGGCTTCTGATCACTGCAAACGGGCAGAGTGCGTCTGCGCACACCGGCCCGTTCGCAGTTGTCGAACAAGCAGGCCACTAACCCACCGAGAATCTCACGATTCTCGGTGGGTTTTCAAGCCTGCTTGTTCGACGGAAGACGTGTGGTCGCACGTACAGTGCAGTAGAGACGTACAGTAGAAACGGTCGCACGCCTTCCATACACCTTATCGTACGATCGCGGGATTTCCCGTGATTCTCGTACGAGAATCGTACAGTGTATGGGCACCTTAAGGCAGTGTTGTCACCCTAGGTCAGGAGGTTACAGTGAGCTAGCACTGGCAGGATCAACGGGTGAAAATAGAAGAAAACAAACCTGAAAGCCTAGAGTCATATGGCTTACACGTTCTAATGGGGGTAAGCTACCATTTCCCAATTTCCTTTTATTAGGATATACATACACTTTATAGCTCATAAAGCACATGCTTTATTTTAGCCCTGATTGAGCAGGTGATGTGTTGGACCTTTGCAGAGAGACCACTACTTCCAGAGAGCAAGTGTCCTTATTTGCAGTATGCGGGCAGGGTACAGGCTTACCTACTGAGGCTATAGCTGCTTATTAAAAAAAAACTCAAGCTGTAGGATGTTGTACACTGTTTGTTTTGAATAATCTGGAGTGTATTGATCTGATTTAAAATGAAAATTCAGTTAAGCTTTAAAAGGCCTGAACAGTCATTATTATTATTATTATACAGGATTTATATAGCGACAACAGTTTGTGCAGCGCTATGTCATAAAACATACAAGCTGGAATTCTGTTTTCACCACACCCTTGCTTTCTATAGTTCAAATTGAACATTTCTTGTAGGGTTCACAGTGGGATTAATTGAGGGGAATTTATCAAAACTGGAGCAGACGGCCTCTGTAGCAGCTACCAATGGAAACCAATCAGCTTCTCTCCTTTATTTTAAAAGCTGAAAACTTAAACTGAATAGAGAAGCTGACTGGTTACTATGGGCAACAATTTCATATTCTGTCTACTCCAGTTTTCAATTTTTTTCAGGTTTTTTGTACAATACTGTACAAGCACCTCCAAAAGCTGGGAACTATTTTGCTTTTTTTTTAGGTCGAGTGCTGCCGCGTCTAGATGCAGCGTTTATTAGCGTTCAGATCTGGCCGCAGCAGCCTGATCACTGTGTGAATGAGGATATACAGAGCATGAATTACAGGACCTGAGTTGTAGGAATCGGGGGAAATACTTGTCTGCATTGCCCATGACAGCTAGTTTTCTTCTGTTGTGCACATAGTAGATTATATTTACATAAAGACTAGAACTATTTTGTTGTTTTTTTACCTATAGATCAGTCTCATGGTGTGAAGCAATGATCATTCTAAATTAGGGGGTAGCTACAGGGGTTAAGTTTTTATTTGCACAGAGTTCTGCTTTAAAGAAAATCAGTTTTTTTTCTTATTTAAAATAGGAAGTTCCCCCTAGAAATCATCAATGAACACTAAACAGCCATATAACACATGTACCTTGATAAGTGAATTGCAGCATGTTTGACTTCTGTCTCTCTGGTTGTCCAACAATCATTATGGGAAAACTGCCAGCTATTACCAGTGACACTATGGTGTAGCTAAGCCCCCTCATGCTATCTACGTCCTGTTATCAGAAAACCTGATTGGAAACTGCATCTTCTGTGCCCTGATACGACACCATGATTTGCATGGTATAACTTGTAAGAGCTGCCAGTTTCTAATGCTGATTACTGGACAGCCAGAGCTCAGAGAGAAGTCAAAGATGGTGCTATGCACTTATCAAGGTACATGTGTAATATAGATGTTTAATGTTTATTGAGTAATACTAGGGTGAACTTCAGTAATGGCAGTTCCCATATTTATATGCTCACGGGTTTTCTTTAAAAAAAAAGTCCTTGAAATTCATTAAAGGAAAACTATGGGTTCAGTGTTTTTCCCCATAGTTCTCCTTAGGGTAACGGGAGGACACAAACTAGCATCCTCCCGTTACCCTAAGCTTATTCTAGAGACAACAGCCACTTTAAGGGTGTGTATTTTGATCCTGGCTTCACTACACTCCAGTATGCAGTCGAAGTCAGTAGCTCATTACGAAGCAAAGCAAGAAGAGGATGACCATGGAGCCTAAACCTTTAGGCTAGGTTCAGACCTGCGCGACACCCAGGACACGTGTCCCGGGCCCGCATGATCGTGTGCTAGCGCACACAGCGCTTGCCACTCGGCCCCATTGATTTCAATGGTGTTACATCAGCACGGCAGTCGCTAAAAAAAGGTACAAGTACCTTTTTTGTAACACACAATGTGCGGCTTCTTTAGCCGCGATTGTGTTCAATTGCAGACCCGCGGCGACATCCCGCGCGATCCGCCCGGCGCAACTGGGATGCTATTAGAAAACAATGGCACTGGCAGCGCGATCGCCCATTGGGGAGATTCCCCAACGCTTCCTGTCCTGAAAACACAACAGAAGATAAGAGGAAATCTCTCCAAAATATGATAAATGTTCACTCAGATAGTTGTTACCAGAAAAATTGTCCCCATTGGAAGACTTCCCCTCTATTTCTATTCTAGTGACAAAGTTTTCTGCTCCCTTTCTGTCCCAGTGTCACTGATCACCAAGAGAGATAGAATATAAATCTCCCTAGTGGGGACACAGTCAGCGAATACAAAAATCTCATAGGGAACTAACCCTTCCCCAGAGTTGCATAGTTACCCAGTTATCCAGGTTGAAAAAAGACACAAGTCCATCAAGTTCAACCTTCCCCAAGGTAAGCAAAACCTAAAGCAGAATTAAATTCAACATTTTTTTTGGCATATATCTACTGCTAGTAAGTTACACCATTTCAGAAACAACTTTTAGTCCTCCAGCTGTTCAGGAAATATAGTAGCAGTTTACCTCCAGCTAGGCTAAGCCATGCTATTTAAAGGCAGTAGTTCCATAACAGTTGGAAACTCTTGGTTACTCAAGCACTTTGAGTGGTGTTTTCTTTCTGTTATAGGAAGTCTGCATCCTTTCTAAATTTGTTTTAGAAATGCATGTAAATGTGATCAGTTTAAAGCTCAGTTCCAGGAAAAAAACAAACAACCCCAAAATCCTTAATATTCCATCTCTCTGTACTTATTCTATAGGTTTTTATTTTAAATGAACTCTTTCCTAAAGTTCCAAATACAAACCTGGTCATGCTTGGTCGCAGGTCTTCTTTCTTCTGCTCCTTAGCATGAGAGGGTCTGGTCTGCAATGCCCACTTTGCTTCTTGGTTGACATGAGTGCTGCCCATTAACTGTTGGAAGGGGCAATCAAAGGGTCCTCGCAGCATCCATCAGTGCCATGGGGGATGGTGTAGACAAGATTATTTTCTTTGAAATATTCTTGATGTGTGTGTGTGTTTGTTTTTATCTGAATGATTCCAAATGTATGATTGTATCCGTAAATCTTCTAACATAAGGCTTGAATAGATTTCTTATCTAGACAATGCTGTCATACATTTAAAGCATATTTTCAGACATTTGACATTTATTTTTAACTTTCATCAGTTCCCACTGCTGAAGATAACAGATTTATGTCAAATAATGACCTATATAGCTTTGCGAATAGATCCTAGTGTTTAGGATCTTGTCAAAAGTTATGTTCTATCATATACCTGTGTTTTGCAATCTTTCTGATCTATATATAGATTTTTTTTTTATGCCTGAACCTACTATTCATAAGGACACAAAAACCAGTAAGCAAAATTAAAAAAAAGATATCTGTAACACACGTGTTACAAAGCAAAATATACATTTGAGATAAATCTATGTGAACTGTCTTAGGGCCAATCCACACCAGCTGCTGTGCAAAACACACAGCGGCTGGTGTGTGGTGCCCAACACAGTGCTCATACACTGAACCCAGCACATTGCACTGTGTACTTTTTTTTTAGAACTTTATTGAAATGTCACATTTCATTCAGTTCTATGGGCACAGCAGGGTGCAAGGTGGTTGTATTGCATCACATTTCACTCCACTGAAAAAAAAAAAAGTACAGCATGTGGAATTTTTTGTCTTGGTTTGGGATCAGTTCACGCCACAGATGTTTACAATTAAGTTTAAAAAAAAAAAAAGTGCAGTGTGCTGGGTTCGGCGCATGGGCACTGGGTCGGGTGTGATTAGACAACAATCTCGCGTTTAGTTTACTAATTTGTAGTGGTGACTACTTTACAACTCACACAAGGACCATGGAGAACAAAAGTAGCCACCCTCCAGAAGGAAGGACAGTGTCAGCACCAATTCAGAGATTATTTGAGGATCTACAGCGGAGTGATACACACATAAGATATATTTTTGTTAATAGTTAAGGTACTGGAATAAATGTGTAAAATTAAACTCCTGAGTTTAGTGTCACTTTAATCTATTACTCAAAGCCATCAGGTGACTGTATAGAATAACAGTTTTGTACTCTAGCTTACAGAAACAGTTCCTTTATAGCTGACCTATACTGTTCAGTTAATCAAATCTTACATGTTAGATAGACAATGAATATAATTGCCTTTTTGTACCTTTAGTAGTCTTGCACATTCTGGTGCTGCTGTAATGACCAGTTTTGAGGCTTTGGTTACGTGATCAGTGTTGAGGCTTTAGTTACGATGCTGCAAGCATGGATCAGTTTTCAATCAGAGCTGCTAATTTGTTGGCTTTGTCAAACATAATTTTCCCAAGACCCTTCAGCAAAGACCATGTGACCAATGCCTTGGAATGTTGAGGGTTAAAGACAAGGTTCCAACATGTCAATCAAAAATAATATATGATTACTATATTTTTATTTAGTCCTGACCACATTAAATAAATTAACATGTAATATCCATGTAGTCCAAAACAGGGGTAGCCAAACTCCGGTCCTCTAGCGATGGCAAAACTACTGAATTCCCCTCATGCTTCTGCCTCTGGAAGTCATGCCTTTGGCTGTCAGAGACTTGCAATGCCAAATGGGATTTGTAGTTTCACCACAGCTGGATGGCCGAAGTTTGACTTCCCCTGCGTTGTACATTCATTTTAACGCAAACCTGTCAATAGGCAAAGTTTATTAAGCAGACATGTGCAGAAAGTTTATAGGATACCCTTTATTGGCTATCCTAAAGCTAAATTCTGGGCAAATATTAAAGACACAAATTAATTCAGCTTTGCATTCATTAATATATTAAATATCTATCTTTAGAACCCCTTTAATTGTATGTGTGTGTGTGGCCATTCTGAATAATGACCCCAGTGTCCAGGCACAGAATAGTCTCTGGGGCTCTCGGCTCAATTCAGATTCAGTTATTAAACTGGCTCAGTACACATAGTTTTCCAACTGAATAACTCATTTTTATTCCGCTATCCATCTTCTGCACCTGACTGCTCTGTTTGCTAATTAGTTATGATCATATTCTGAAGTTTTCTTACAGAGTAAAGCCACTGTTGTGGACTTTCGCAGGTTGCAGTGGCTACACAATACATATCAGAAGGCATAGTAATGCTTATCACAGTGTGAAAAAAACTCTTTAAGGTGACACTAACCTCGGGAGATAAATCCTAAAATGCATTCAAGTACCATAACTATTGACAAAAAATGTTCTATTTGTGCATCACGCAGCTGTAGATCCGCAAACCATCTCTGAATTGGTGCTGACACTGCCCTTCCTTCTGGAGGGTGGCTACTTTTCTTCCCCATGGTCCCTGTGTGTGTTGTAAAGTAGCCATCGCTCCAAGCTTGCTCCCGTGATGGACTATAATCTCAATACAAATTAGTAAACTAAATGTGAGATTGTAGTCCATCACGATAAGTAAGCCGATCAATATTTTTTTTTAAATCCTTCATCCTGTTATAGGCACCCTCTAGTGCCCTTGCTTATCTTTGCCAGCCTCTCCAACACACATTGGTGACTGTGACAGAGTTTGCTGGCAGAGGAACAAGTGACCAGAAGCTTTGTGTCAGCCGAGATGCAATGTATTAAAGCATTTACTCATTAACTGGAGGTTGTTCTTCAAAGAACAGGTACACTCAAAATAGATGTTTTTTTTTTTCCATTTAGAGTATGGCAAGGCATGTTCAACCATTCTGCCTTTTGTGCTGTCTGGAAGACAAGTGAAGATATTTGCCCTAATCCAAGTAAAATTACCTCCAGTTTGGGTGGTGCTGTTTGCTAAAGGGAACCATAGAGGATGAAAAGATGGGAATTGCCATTGTTGACTTGTTTGGATGTAAAGCCTCTGGGTGGCTTCACTACTTAATGAGCCACTGCAGTGACAATTTTTCAGGGTGGGAGTTCTGCCTTTTTCAGTCCACAATGGTAGCCCCCATATTGTGCTTCCCACAGGTTCAGTTTAAATAGCCGCACAATAATTTTAACATAGCTCATTACCGGCCCTAAACTGCATGACAACAATGTTAAATTGTTTAGCACGTTAAACCCACACAAATCAGTCTCTACTTTTGGAAGGGACAGTTGGTTGTGTTTTTCCACCAGTCTATAGGTTCTCAGTCCTCCCCTGGAGAGATTTCTTTGTATAACATAATGCTCCCCTTGTGTTAGCTTGTACTTGACTGTGTTAGCTTTAATAGCTCTAACCCTTTAGTATAACATTTACAAGGCTATACACTATGTACATTTCGACCAGTTCTTCAAGAACTGGCCAACATTCGTACAGTGGCTGCCCTGCCAGCACGCTTTCCCCCAGCAACCCTTAATCAGAGGATCGAAGGAGCCAGTTCGATGGAGAACACTTATATTTTTTTCTTCCAGCCCACAGGTTGAATAAAAAAAATATGAGTGTATATTTAGCTTTAGGTATTGAATGCAAATGTTATGCTTCTCATTAAGACCATAGTAGACCGTAGTAGACCGGAGTTCTCAGCACAGGCATCAGTTATCAGTTTTATGTAAAAGTCTGCTTTATACTGATGCACTGGCAAGTCACAGTTATGTAGCATGGGGATTGAGCTGTGTTTGATGGATTTTTACAGTGATAGGTTACGGATTGAGAGACAACCCCAGGACTTATCTGTGTGATGGGATTTTACAATGGTTGGTGAACCATAGTAGTCTTCTAGGAGATATAAACATTTATGTGTTTGAGCAGAGAACATGCTTATTGCCACTCTGAGAAACTTTCTGGCACAGCAGCTATATCCCAGCAGGTAGGAAATTCCTGACAATCTTTTTGCACAGTTCATTATCACAGCATGTCTTCATATTGGCAACTAACACATTGCTAATGATGATAAGGACGTTTCCATGACGGATCCATGTGATAGGAACTCTATGGCAGTTCAGCTGTTAGCTTGGCTTTGGTAGTAATAGTCGATTTTGCAACGCTATGTGCACAAAGTGACTTGAAACTAGAATGACAATGCTGTTGTATGTGAAAAGATTAAAGATGTTATGTGAAATGTGTGCTTTAATATATTTATATACTATGTTCTATTTAGAGAACTGATATACTAATTAGGAATAGCTACATATATAATTATCCTTGTCCAATATACTTGTTAGCCATGCACAGTCTATTTATACTGCAAGAGTTCTTCAGTTCTTCATCAGCCGGTTCTTTCTGATGGGAACTTCAATCTGATTTCCTTCTTTACTTGGCTTTGGAAAGATAATTACCAAGCCTTGGATGCATCTGACTATGAATTAAATCACTGGTATTTTGGCTGGGTCAACTCCATATAAACTAGATGTGTCTGTCATCTGAATATTAAGTAGGGATTGTTGCCAATATTAACCAGGAGGAAAAACAAGACTTTTTAAAATATTTAATCATTCTTAAGGGATCTAGTTATCAATGTGCTCACCAGAGATTCACACAACGTTTACCCACCATTCACCCATGTTTCTAATAGAATCTTATGTGGAAAATGGGTGACTCTTGGGTTAAAACACAGATGAATAGACTCCTTTAGACTATGTCATATATCATTACTGCACAGATTGTATTTGATTTGTTTTCTTTTGTGCTTGTAGAGACTCTTGACGGTTTGCTTGTTGCCATGCAGAAACAAGAGAAGCAATGCAATGCAATGTCTATGTTGACATTCCGTAGATACAGCCCAGCTCCTAACAAAACTTTTTTGTTTGCTTTGATTAGAAGTGTTTCAAATTCAAACTGAAAGGATTAATTGTGATCATGATTTTTTTTTTTTTGTATAATAATTGCAGGTGTAATTATAGCCACATTTATTTATTTATCTTTTTTTAACCCCTTTTAGATATTATTCCCTGCTGATGTGTTACCACACATTTTGTATTCTTTCCCTTTTTAAAATAGAATTTCCTGTTCGTATGGTTTTCATGATGATCTGACTGTTCTATTATAAACCTGTGTTTTTGATCATGTAGTTAACTTTAGGCCACTTTCACACAGGCAGCAGGGTTTACCGGGTGGTTGAGCTGCGATACTGCTGCCTCCTGAATATCTTTTTTTCTTTTTCTCTCAAGGGAAATTAAAGGGCCCGTTCACATCTGATGTGTTCAGTCTGCGCTGAGTGTATTTCCCAGCACAGCCCGAAAGCAGTGACGTGCGGTACCTCTGGTTCCGGGTGAGGCATTTCCCAGCCTCGCCCCCAGCACCTGCCGCACAGCCCGCCGAAGCCCCGCCCCCAACCCGGTCCCCAAGCTAGTGTGAAGGAGCAAGTGAGGGACACGTGAGTCCCCCGTCTCCTCTCTTCCTCCTCGAGATCGATGACCTCAGTGTTTTTTCTTTTTTTGATTGGACAGCTTGGACCAATGGCGCTTTGCTACTGGTCCAAGCCATCCACAGATCTCACGCCTCTAACAAAGAGTAGTTGCAGTGACAGCTCTTGCCTCAATAGTTAGGTTACACAAGCAGTGGGGAAGCCCGCTGCTGTGTAACCTAACTACCTGTCAAAAGCAGCGCTGCCTGTAAATAACAGGTAGCACTCCGTCCATGACAGGTTACACAGCGTGGAGGCTTTCCCTGCTGTGTAACCTGATAGAAGCCGATCTGAATGGAGAAAAATCAGTCAGATTCAGACTTGAAGCCTCACCTGCCTCCCCTGACCACATGTTCCTGCCCGAAAGGCTGTTTGCCTTGTCATGGGTGGTTTAAAGTTCACACCACTGAATTGCGGTAGGAAATACTTCTTTTTTTCTCTCTATATCAGTACATTAGGATCAATGTTCCATATTTTGAAATGTGTCAACTGGGATTGTACTATATTACACTAGTGATGTAAATCCCTTGTTCCTAAAACTCTTTGCTGGCAGTCACCTGAATAGGCCACAGCTACAAAAGATAAGGGCCCTTCCATGCCTGCTGTCAGTTTTTAAGGCAGTCCTGATCGGATGCCCAATGTAAGTCTGTGGGTAGCTGGATCTCAATGGACAGGTGTCCGTTTACATCCAGTTGCTCCCAGCTCCAGCCAGGCCCAGAAAAACAAATGGAACAGTGTTCTGTTTCACTGGACCTGATTGTGCCGGATCGGGGGTAATCTTATGTAAATGGACACAAGTCCACTTACTTCCCATTTCCCCATAGACCGACATGGGGTCCAGTCATTTCAGTTTTCTCCTCCATTGCATAGCGGTGACATCCGAACTGTACCGCTCCGATTAGGAGAAGATTCGTGCACAGATCCCCTCCTGATTGGTCAGTGTGTCAGGGGCCTTATTGTAGTTGCTAAGTCCTAAAATTACTATTAATTTAATCACTAGATCTAGCAAATGATCACTAAACAAATGGAACAAATAGTTACCTGTGGAGCAGGCTTTACAAGTAGTTTCTTGTACTGATCAGTCGCACATGAATGCAGCATTGTACGATAATGCAAGATTGATCTCTTCTACATGCTATCTGTGAAGCCCGCTTGTTTAAAGTTCACTTGCTGTACCCAGGTACAGAGAGAGAGCTGATTGGCTTCTGTAGATTACTACACATCATTGACCTCTACAGAGTCTTTCCAAAAGTCCAGTCTTATCAAAATCCAGGATATTGTTTTAAAATGAAGCTCATATAAAATCCCTCATTGTAACCAGTGATTATGTTGAGAGACGACAATATGGAGTCCAGTACCCAAAATGCGTATGAAGCATGTGTTTTCCACCTGCAGTACATTATGCTTGTTGACCAGCTATATGAGCAGAGCAATTAAAACTCCCAATGCATCATATAGGCACACTGTTTTGTTTGGTTCAAGGCTGCAGGCAATGACACTGCAGAGTGTCCTTTTACTTCCTGGATTTCTGGCACATGTGAATAGGACATGTGACCATGCACATCATCTCAGGGGAGGAAAATGCCTTTCCCTGAAACGAGATTTCCCAGCAATGCTCTGCTGATGTAACCTTCCCAGGATGCAATGCTTTGGGTAACTGAAGTCATTTTGCCCTTTCAAAGCAGGAAGTGAATGCTCTGCAAGTGTAAGTAATTCAAAATGACAGCATTTTACACCTGACATGTCTATATTATTATTAATCATCATACATAGAGGGATGCATTGGTAGAATTTGATTTTTAAGTGTAAAGGTCTGCTTTAAATTATAGCTAGGGTACAGGACTAGTTGTGAGACTTCAATCGGGCTTTCAGTAAATATGAACTGAGGTTTCCTAAAAAAAAAGCTAATTAAAACTATCCTCCCACTCTTTGATAGCTTTTGGTTCCCTGTAGTAGCTCTGTTCCTTGCCAAACAAATACACTAAAGGGGCTGTGAGTACTGCCATATGATAGGATTGTGGGGTTGAGAAAGCTGTCAATCATTGGGACCTGCCTTCAGAGATCCAGTGCATTGCAGTGCTGCCAGCAGCATTGCTGTCAAAATGCTGTGCTGAAAAAGTAACACAGTGGTATTGTTTAACCAGTTGACATCCGCGGTGTTAAACCCCCTTCCCATCCAGGCTGCTGGAACAAATACAAATGTATTTAGTAAAAGTGCTTCTATATTTTAAATTGTCCCCATTGGCACTGTTCACACTAATTAAGTCAATGTTCACTGTTCAAAGATAAACAAATATCATTTTTGAATGCAAAATAAAATTGGGCAACAATGATTGACATACAACTGTATACAATGTGGAGAAAGGTAGAAGCAGTGTCATGTAATTAGCATTTTGATAACAGGTTCTGTGCTGAGGCAATGCCTGCGATTCCATTAATAAATAATGAGTGTGGCACAGGTCATAGGAAACAGTGTGCTGGAATTTGCTTTTACTGTTCCCATGTGCATGTACATAATTGCAAGGCTGCCATGTGGGTGATATTCTATATCCTGTCCTCTTGTGGCTCAGCATCTAGCCTTTTATAACAATGTTTGTTACTCCACTTGGCACGGCCAGTTAATTAAAGTATTCTTCTTGCATGCAGAAATGTCAAATTCCACTCACAGGGGCTAACTTGAAAAGGTTGTCACATTCACATGCCGAGTCTGGAAAAGATGCAGACGTTGCATTGTGTGCATTACATGGCTTTATTTTTAGTTGTTCCTTAGTAACCCTGCGAGCAAACTATTTTAACTTTTTTTTTTCTTTTTCCATTTAATAAAAAGTGACAGATTCCCATAATAAATTCTGGGCACCTTAGACATTGGTATACATAGGTGATTTGTTTAGCACTGCAGTAGAGAATAAAAGTTGTTGGAATAAAAGTTGTTCAAGTAAAAGTTATTCATGCCAAATGGCACTTAATATTGCAGCCTTTTAATTCTATAATTAAAGGCTTCTTTATGACATTCTACAAAAGGACCAAATTATGTTATTAAGTAATGCTCAAGTCTGATAAATAAAAAAAAAAATCCTTTACTTTGCCTGAATAAAGAAAATGTTCCTTCATTTTCCATCACACGCTCTCCCTCCCAGACACTGCAGCTCACTGTGGGAGGGTTTCAAGCCACAGAGGCAGTGCTGTCATTGCATAAAGCAGTGGGCAGGACTAGGTGTAGCCAGGTGCTGATTGACAGGCTACAGGCTTATGAATCAGCTACGTCCCCTGCAACATTTTTCAAGCCCACTGTAGTGCAAGCAGGCACAATGTATATGAGAGTGGCAACTCTGCTCTGAATTAAGGAGCAGTGAAGCATTGTTGCCACCCCATCATAGGAAGCTGCATTAGTTGGACTTCATTGGCAGGATCAACATCTATTTGTGAGACGTTTTTGTTACCAGTAGCCGTCTTCATATCCAATATATTGTATGTTTATTGTTTTATATATCCTCTAATCCTTTTGTATGGCATTGTATTGTAATTGTACTGTCTCCACATATGTTGTAAAGCTCTGTGCAAACCGCTGCCACTAGATAGATCCTGGATAGTAATACATCATTGCGTTATTGCACTGCAGTCAGCATTCTTGCTATATCCTGCACTAACAGGGTTATTCACTCAGCTGCCGAAGGAAGCTGAGTGAAAAACCGAGCCCGAAGTGAACCGAACGCTGTTCGGGTATTCACTTCTGGCTTGTGCGGCTGATTTCAGCCGTTCATCGGCTAAAATCAGCCATATATGGGCTCTGTATGGCTGGCTTCGGTCAGCCGAACATGCTTTGCAGAAGGACTTCGACATATGGATCGGCTGAGCCGAAGCTCTGGAAGCTCACTCGCTACCGTTCGTCCCTATTTTCATAGTTAGGCCATTTGGGGACGCTGACCTGTCATTACAACTGGGTGGAGCCAGCAGTGAGATCACGGCTGCCTCCGCCCAGCTGTTATTTGGGGGGCGAACAGCTGTCACTGCGGCAGGCCGTTCGCCACGCTTTGGCTGTCACTGCGGCAGGCCGTTTGTCCCGCTTCGGCTGATACTTCGACTCAGTCGAGCCAAAACATATGCCTTCACCTCGGCTGAGCCGCTTGGCCTCCTTCGGCGGCTGTATGGGCTATAGTGAATAGCCCGTAAAGGCAGCCCTTTGTTTCGACTGAACCGAAGGGCTCTAGCGGCCGAAGAGAGCCGAAGGATCAGCCAAAGCTATGGCTGGATCCTTCGGCTCCTTTGTGAATAACCCTCTAAATCTTGGTCTTTGCCTTTGTAATACTTGTGGTTTGGTAGACATTCTGCCATGTCTGGTACCACCACTGACTAGAGTGTTCAGTGGAGGCAAAAGCCTATATATATATAGATCTATATCTATATAGATATATATCTATATAGTTATATAGATATATATCTATATAGATATATATCTATATATATATATGCCAGG